GTGTATTTTAACACACAAATGCATGTGCGTGCGCGTGCACACACACACACACACACACACACACACCCCTCATGGCAATGCCAGAAGTTTTATATAGAATTGAGGGAAGTGCTTAGGGGTAGCAACATGTCTGAAAGGGCTCTAGAAACTCTGCATCAAAATTGTGTTTGCTAAGCATGAATAAGGTTTTCCTTTAGACTGGGTATTTACTTAGGATGGCTAAGAGTAAGAGACTGATGGAAATCAAGGAAGGGGGAAACTTATGGGAACCACCCCATAGCACCACCAATATTAAAACATCTTACAGAAGTAGCTAGTTTTTCCATTTTAAAGTAATCGTATGGGATGCTATTCCTTGTAGTGGACACACAGAAAAGAACTAAACAAAGTTCACATTATCTATATTTATTTAAATGAACATAGCCTATCATTTCTGCTCCCAGTGTCACCACTTTTCTCCCCTGCAATACAGAAACACTTCTAATTTTCTTCTCCACTCCCCTGGTATTTTTTGTTGTTTTGAGTAGCAACAGGGAGCAAGCATGTTTACATAAATGTAATAAGCTACTCCCCTCAGCAGTCCACAATCAATTCCATTCTATCCCCATATTTCTCTATTAGACAGTGATGCCTTATTGTCAAAGGACACCATTTTAATTTGTCAGCCCATCTTGAATCAAAGTTTCAAAACAAGCAAATGGAGGGAACCAAATTTCTCAGAGCTCGTGGCTTACAGGTTGTTTCTGTACGACTTAAGCATAGGTATGTGCACTCCCAGGGATATCTACCAACATGCTAGGAGATATATAAATGCCAGAAATAATACAGTGTATCTTTCTGAATTGTCAGTTTCACTCCATGATAAGGGATCTAAGAACATTACTTTTATATTAAAACAGATACATTATGGAGCAAGATGCAAGATCCACATGTATTTTTTAAAAATTTTTTTGTTATGTTAATCACCATACATTACATCATTAGTTTTTGATGTAGTGTTCCATGATTCATTGTTTGCGTATAACACCCAGTGCTCCATGCAGAACGTGCCCTCTTTA